TCACAAGCATTCCTCTACACCAATAACAGACTAAAAGAGAGCCAAATCAAGAACGAACTGCCATTCACAATTGCTACAAAAAGAATAAAATACCTTGGAATACAACTCACAAGGAACATAAGGGACCTCTTCAGGGAAAACTACAAACCACTGCTCAACGAAATCAGAGAGGACACAAACAGATGGAGAAACATTCCATGTTCATGGTTAGGAAGAATTAATATCATGAAAATGGCTATACTGCCCAAAGTAATTTACAGAATCAACGCTATCCCCATCAAGCTACCATTGACTTTCTTCACAGAACTGGAAAAACCACCTTGAACTTCATATGGAACCAAAAGAGAGCCCGCATAGCCAAGTCAATTCTAAGCAAAAAGAACACAGCGGGGGGCATCACACTACCGGATTTCAAACTATACTATAAGGCTACAGTAATCAAAACAGCATGGTACTGGTACCAAAACAGAGATATAGATCAATGGAACAGAACAGAGGCATCAGAGGCAACACAACCTAGCTATAACCATAGAATCTTTGATAAACCTGACAAAAACAAGCAATGGGGAAAGGATTCCCTGTTCAACAAATGGTGTTGGGAAAACTGGCTAGCCATGTGTAGAAAGCAGAAACTGAACCCCTTCCTGACACCTTACACCAAAATTAACTCCAGATGGATTAAAGACTTAAACATAAGACCCGGCACCATAAAAACCCTAGAAGGAAATCGAGGCAAAACCATCCAGGACATAGGAGTAGGCAAGGACTTCATGAATAAAACACCAAAAGCATTGGCAACAAAAGCCAAAATAGACAAATGGGACCTAATGAAACTCCACAGCTTCTGCACAGCAAAAGAAACAGTCTCTAGTGTGAATCGGCAACCAACAGAATGGGAAAAAATTTTTGCAGTTTACCCATCTAACAAAGGGCTGATATCCAGAATTTACAAAGAACTCAAACAGATTTACAGGAAAAAAACAAACAAGACCATTCAAAAGTGGTCAAAGGATATGAACAGACACTTTATGAAAGAAGACATATATGAGGCCAACAATCATATGAAAAAATGCTCATCGTCACTGGTCATCAGAGAGATGCAAATCAAAACCACATTGAGATACCATCTCACGCCAGTTAGAATGGCGATCATTAAAAAATCTGGAGACAACAGATGCTGGAGAGGATGTGGAGAAAAAGGAACACTTTTACACTGTTGGTGGGAGTGTAAATTAGTCCAACCATTGTGGAAGACGGTGTGGCGATTCCTCAAGGCCTTAGAAATAGAAATTCCATTTGACCCAGCAATCCCATTACTGGGTATATATCCAAAGGACTATAAATCGTTCTACTGCAAGGACACATGCACATGAATGTTCATTGCAGCACTGTTTACAATAGCAAAGACCTGGAATCAACCCAAATGCCCATTGATGATACACTGGATTGGGAAAATGTGGCACATATACACCATGGAATATTATGCAGCAATCAGAAATGATGAGTTCGTGTCGTTTATAGGGACATGGATGAATCTGGAGAACATCATTCTCAGCAAACTGACACAAGAACAGAAAATGAAACACCGTATATTCTCACTCATAGGCAGGTGATGAAAAATGAGAACACATGGACACAGAGAGGGGAGTACTAAACTCTGGGGTCTATAGGGGGGAAAGGGGAGGGCCAGTGGGAGGGGGAGGTGGGGAGGGATTGCCAGGGGAGAAATACCAAATGTGGGTGAAGGGGAGAAACCAAACAAAACACACTGCCATGTGTGTACCTATGCAACTGTATTGCATGCTCTGCACATGTACCCCAAAACCTAAAATGCAATAAAAAAAAAAAAACCTACATTCCATCTGGGTGAACTTCATTCTGTGGAACGCAGTCATCACCTTCCCACTCCTCTTTCTGAGATCAGTTTTGGGGCCTTTTGAAGTCGGAAGCATTCTTGGCCTTTTTCTCTCTCCTGCTCCAGTCTAGACTGAATAGCAAACAAGATCCCCCAGGTAACTAATACTAACTCACTAACGCTGATTAAATTGGGGTGACCTGCTGGGGCTGGTCATCTCATTTTACCTCTAATACTCCCTGCAGAAGAGGAAAAAAAAAAAGTGAGAATGTTCTCATAGAGGCAGCATAGATCTCCAGTCTTTGCCCCATCACACAGAATCAAGATTACAGTATCTGCTGATTGTATTTATTGGTCAATGGGAATATGCCGCATGATTTAAAGGATAAGATTGGGTCTAATACTTCTAGACCTTCCCTTTTTCTAATACCTTCAGCAGTTCTGTGTTTCCATATTTAGCTATTAGCCCAGGAAAGACAGGAAACCAGATACTATCATTAGCTCCCACTTTTTCTGGAACATTTAAATGTGAACATTTATAATTTTTTTGCATATGGTTCATTTGTTTTACTCCATGTCCTGAGGCTAAGGCTTATGAATTTATGATATGTAGGTATATAACTGACTCAAAAAACTAGTCTTCTGCTTCTGCAGAAAGAATCATGTTTGATTCCTTTTCCATTTTAATTTCCAAATCATCTAAATCCTACTAATATCTGGAATCAATAGCCTTCTTCCATAACTTCCAGAACTTTCTTGGTACCAATTCCTCCCTGGAAGAACTGAAAGCCAAATCATTTCTCTCATTGCATGTTGGACCAATTTCCCTTACCAAAAAGCAAACGCCACGGGACCTAACAATTTAGGCTTTTATATAATACTGATCATATTCAAAGAGTCTCCAATACCTGTGTGACCTACATGGGCATGCCTAAACCAGACAAAATATCTGTGCTATGACCTTGTCTTCAAGCCAGTGAAACGTCTTTTGAGCTTTTCACAAAGCAACATGGAACTTCTGGTAGTTGGTGTCCAGAATGAAGTACAATAGTCTACTCCTAACTACTTGTAAAGCATTAAAAAAAACCACAAGGAGGTAACTGATGGACTCAAAGAGAGCCTTCAATACCTACTGACCCAGCAGTACCCTTGGTAACTGACATTAATGAACTTCATCCTGACCTCACCACATTCTATATAAAAATCCTGATAACGTAAGATTCACCTTCATAAAAGCTACCAAAACAGTCTTCAAGGAGGCTAAGCATCTATGACAAATGGAAACCAGGGCTCTTTGAATTTTAAGTTTCTTTTCCTTCCCATTCTAGTTTCACTACCACACTGCCATCTACACTTCTTCCAAATGCTTTGTTGTATTCTATCTCGTTACGGTATTTCCTAACTCCTGCTTCCTAACCCTCTGTCTCTCCAGTAGATAACGGTCTAATAGAGCCTCAGGGAGCTACCTACAACATTTATTCTAGCTTTTAGTGGCCAAAGGAGAACACAGATAAAGTATCCTAGCCAACAACACAGTCTGGAAGGAATCCAGTCTCATGAGCTATTTGGTAAGATACCTCCATTTTTGGTAGGATATCTCAGACAGTATCCCCATCACCCACAGCATGAACTCAGTGACCTGATGCTGACACTGTGCCCATCACTCGGGATCTTTGTTTCATCTGTTGTTCTTCTGCCTGGTTAAATCTGAATTGACCTTAGCTCATAAAATCAGCTCTATTCACCCAGGTACCATAACGCTCCTAGCACCCAAAAGTGACACAGAGACCAAATTTGTGTTTTACATAGCTCACTCTGACTGCAGAACACACGTGAAAGCAATGACATAGGAATGACTTATCTAAAATGGAAGGCTCAGCATGAGTGAGAAAAGGAGTTGGAAGTAGGGGAGGAACATATGCTCCCATGTTGCTGGAGTATCAGTGCTTGCTAGGATAGTCCTGCTTTTCCTAGCATTAGTACTCCTGTCCAGCGTCTCTTTCTGGTCATAGTTTTTCTTTGTTTTTGTTTTATGCCTTAATAAATATTTCACACTTTCTACCCCAGAAAAAATGAGGAGAACCTTAATATGGACACTTCTATCATGCTTCTGACCTTACCAAAGAAAATAAAATGTTTTCTTTGATGGATTAGAAGCCATAGAAACCCAGTAACTCACTATTGTTATGGGACCCAAATGAAAAAGCAAAGTTGAAAGACTTTTGCAATAATATATATGAGGCTGAATGAGTATCTTAACTTGTGTACTAATGAGAAGAATGGGGAGGAGAGAATAAATTCAAGAACTATTTAAGTGACAAACTGGCAGAACTTGGTGACTGTAAGTGGTAGGTTTCTAGCTTGACATCTAGATAAATGGTGGTAGCACCAATTGCAATAAATAATACAAGATGCAAAGGGGAGAAGAGAAGGGTGAAGTTGGGATGCCCAATTTGAGATGCCTATGGAAAAATTAAATGAAAATATCCAGCAGTAAGTTGAATTTGGGGACCAAAGAGGTCTAAATTGGAAATGTAGCTTTGGACATCAACAACAAGGATGATAATTAAAATCATTAACTGGTTCCAATCTCAACCCAAGCACACTGTAGGCTCACAACACAGAGCAAAATGTGTGTGCACACGCGTGTGTGTATGTGCACACGCAAGCATGTGAATGACTATGCATAAGGATTATATGAGAATGGAGAAAGGTAGTAAAGGATATATACCATACTGTACATATAGGTGACAGGATTGAGACAGTACAGGATGGAATGGGAAAAAGGGAGAAAGGAAAGAGGGTAAGACAAAGAAAGAAAAAAATCAATGTGTAAAAACAATTTCTATTAATGATTCCATTTATGTGAACGCGTGTGTGTGTGTGTTCACACATACAGACACTAAGAACAAAATGAAAAAGGGTAGCATTAGATCTATGTCTCTTCTCTGATTTCCCAGGATATATACTCAAGTGAAAAAAAGCAAAGATTAATGTGCAATAGTATGCTCCTATTTTGATACAATTATTTTTAAATTACCCATGAGAATATATTTTTGTATATGTACCTACAAAAAAGGTGCAAAGTGTGGAAGGTCCTCACTAGTCAACTAATACTGAATCCTTTAAAAGCATGGGATTGGAAATAGAAGGAGCAGCAATAATTAGTGTTCTCTTACACATTTTTATATTGTTTCACTTGTAGCTAGATTGAATTACTTTGTAATTTATAAAACATCCAATAAAAAATTTAAAAATCAGAGCAGTGGTTGTTTGAATTCAAATTTGGTTGCAGCAGGCAGTCCCTCATCAGAAAGACCACCACACCTCTCGTGACTGCCCTATCACTCACTGCTGAGCCAGAGGCTACGGTCTATTAATGCAGCATCAGGCTACTATTTTTTGAACTCCTGCTCACCATTATCCTGCTACCTTTTATCCCTTTACTGTTTACGAATCTTTTTCTTCTCCTAAATCTTTAAATGCAGGCCATTTCATGCAGCAATTCTTATACACTTGTGACGTCTCAAATTTTCACTCCCCTTGGAATGTTTCAGTTCATATGAGAAAGGCCAGGCATTCCTGTATAATCCTTTGAAGAATAAATAAGTTAATTATCTGAAGATATGAACTTTTGTTAAATTAATCACATCCTTTTTATCAATGTAACTAAAATGTTTTCAAATTCCATGTGATGTGGTATTATTTTTTTCAATCCGTAGTTTGGATTACAGAAATGGATAGCTAAAAATGTAAGGACCATTTGACTGTACTTTCATGAAAAATTAAAATTAAAGAATATTCCTTAGAGATTTCCAGGATCAAGTACTCCAAAGAAAATACCATCTAAATAGCTAGAGAATATTGCCACAGAGGACAACACATCTATATATCCCATGGCAACCTGCTTGGACTGAGGTCAAAAGCAATATTAACAAATGATGTCAATTCCATGGTAAAGACAGATATATATTCTACCTGAATGCCTCATGTTTTTCTCTTCTGCAATGAGTGACATCATATTTCGCACTTATTACAATAGAAAGAACAATTAAGTCAAGATAAAATTATCTTTAATTAGAAAATAATCAAAGCTTTTAGATTTTACACAGTATTCTAAAAAGTGATCAAGGATCACGGCATCCTTCTAGGATCTCAAAGGGCTTTAACTCTGTGGAATATCAGCTCAGTTCAAGAAAGTTTTAATGTTCTGGTTTTGTTCCAGCTCAGGAGATTGAGAAAACATAGATGTTAGGCTCCAGTTTTCCCTGGTCCATTGTTGAAAAAACAAAATACATTGTTTTGGTTCATGGTTTGATAAAATACACTGACTGGGTTCAAAAGAAGTGTTTCATACTTTGGTGTAACTGAAAAAAATTTATAGGTAATTACTCAAAATCTAGTTTTTCAAATAAATTTTTCTACTGAGCAACATGGTTAGTATTTTTGTCCTAATCAAACAAAGGATAGTTGGTGTACTTTCCCAAATAAAGAACTTCACTGCCACCAACTGTATCATTTTTCTAGAGAAGATATGAGTAGAAAAAAAAGGATGAGGCTGAGGTGCATGACCTCTTCTGCCTTTGAGGCACCTCAGTGTATGGCTTGGTGGATGGTCTTGCTGGGGAAAGTAGACTTTGGATAGGCAGATCAAGGCAATGTGGAAGATGGGAGATAATCAGTCAGAATGGCTCCTGTCATACAACTGGGAGAGTTCAGAACTCCATGCCAGTTCAAAGTTGTACTGCTCCCTGGAGCTAGTTTCATAAATAAGAAGGTATAATCTGCAACCATTCAAGTATGCAGAAATTTTTGTTGATATGTGTCCTATAACTGTAGGACATTTTTCCTTTGTTAACACATCTGCCTTGTAAGTTAATACATTAATCCTGCCTTGATCATCCCTCAGCTCTGAATAGCCAGAGTTAACAGAAATCTACATCATACTTCTAATTATTGAATGTTAGATTTTTTTCTTCTCCTTTGGTTTTAATTGTGCGAAGTAAAGCCAATATAAGCAATGTAAAAATCAAGTCTTGCTAGTTAAATATAAGAACACAGAGCAAACTATCTGAGAAAGGTTACACCTCTTTAAAGATGCAAATTGATGATGGAGCTCAATATCAAAACAGCAGAGTGCTGTTAATTTTTTAAAAGGTGCAAATTGCTAATCTTACTTAAGGCTTTTCTAAAATTGCTTATTAAGAGTACTAGCAAAAAAAAATTAAACAAAATCAACTCTTAAAAATAGAGGCCAAAGAGCTAAATATGAGCTGCTCTATAATCTTTTCCTTCATTTTGGATTTCAGGGAGCATTGCTAAAGTTTGGAGACCTTATATTTACCCCTGGGTTGGTCTAGAAGTTCCCACACTTGGTTTTTCAGTTATCTATTGCCACAATAGTTCCACATAACAACCCAAAAAACCCGGTGGTATACAACAATTAGCATATATTTAATTCACAAGTTTGAGGATTCAGCCAATCTTGGTTGGCCTTGGCTGATCTTGCCTGGTCTTACTCATGCATCTGCAGTTAGCTGTGGATTGACTAAGAGGCTCTGCTGATCTTAGTTGGGCTTGCTGACATGTCTGAGGTCAGCTATTCATTGACTGATTTGCTGATGGAGGTGATAAGGCAATGGGATGCTACTCCATTTTTTTCACCTCTAGCAGGCTAGCCTACACCATAGTCTCATGGCCATGACAGAGGAGAAACAGTTGAAGCAGAGACATGTAAGCATTTCTTCCAACCATATGCAAGTATCACATGCACACAGATTAATAGTTGCTTTGTAGTCACTCTATGAATCTGGAATAGACCCTCTGACCCCAATTAGTAGGTTGGATGTCTAGACTAATAACACTTCACACACCAAGAGTATTTGAAAAAAAGGTTATTACTCACACAGGGGACTTCTATTGGAAGCAGGATAGACACAAGACAATCTGCAATGACAAGACAAGAGAATGACTTGAGCCTTTAATAGTGACCAGGGAGTGGGGATGGAGAAGGGATTGTCATGTGCATGAGGGTTTTCAAACTTCTCTATAATGCAAAGAAGCCAGGGGGGTGTATATGTGTTTTTTTTGCCTAGAGTACCAGATATATGGTGGTGGGAAAGAGAAGGGAGGAACGGCTAGGCACAGTGGCTTATGCCTATAATCCCAGCACTTTGGGAGGCCAAGGTGGGTGGCTCACCTAAGGTCAGGAGTTTGAGACCAGCTTAAACAACAAGGTGAAACCTCATCTCTACTAAAAGTACTAAAATTTGCCTGGTATGGTGGCAGGGCCTATAATACCAGATACTTGGGAGGCTGAGGCAAGAGAATCGCTTGAACTCAGGAGGCAGAGGTTGCAGTGAACCAAGATTGTGCCATTGCACTCCAGCCGGGGCAACAAGAGTGAAACTACGTCTTGAAAAAAAAAAAAAGAGAGAGAGAGAGAGAGACAAGGGTCTAAGTATAAATCCTATCAAACAGTCTAACATTAAAACTGGAGTCAGACTGTTTATTACAACATTCCATTGGCCAAAGAAAGTCATGTGGCCAAACTCAGACTCCAAGGATAGAGAAATCAACTATAGTGAAAGAAATTACAAAGTAATGTGCCAAAGATGTGTGGAAACAAGAAGGGTATAGAATCGAGACAATTAATGCAATCCATCTAACACCTAATGAAGACAGATTCTGAGGACCAAGGTATTATTGTCTCCAGAAAATGTTTTGTATTTGTATGATGAAACAATGGGTTATATGACCAAGACATTGAAGAGACGTAGGGAGAAATGACAAATCCAGAGTTAATGAGTTTATGTGACCCTCCAAAAAAGAAAAAGGAACACCAAACCCAAAAATCTTCTACTGAATCTGACATGTTGAGGATGAGCGGGTAGGGATCCAGGAGTGCAGGGTGAGTACTGCTAATCCCAAATCTGAGGTCTCTCATTTCTCAAGCTATGCCATTAGGTCCTGCCAATTCAGTGTAATTACCCCACAGTGAATCCTCCTGAGAAGGAAGAATCCTAACCTGGTCTTAAGTCTCCACAATATTTATTACAGTTTAACTTCTCCTTCCCCTACCCCATTATTTGAACTTGAGAAATATATCTCAATTTCAATATTGGTCTATGTAAAATACAGCAAGAAGAGAAAGTCTGCTGACCTCCAGTTTCCCATTCACGTTCCCCTTCCCAACAAATACCATAATTTAATATAAAGACACTATAAGTATTCTTTATGTTATTTACCATTCAGGTATTCCTCCCTCCATCCTACCAACATGTACAAGACACCTAGTCTGTAGGAAGAGTAAAGATCTCACTACTTCCCCTTCAACAGCAATACCCCATGCACTTCATGGCATGCTGTGCCCACCCTCTGCCTCCTTCAGAAGCTGAGAGTGGAACTACTGATTCCTCAGAAACAGCAGTGCTGCACAGACAAGTCAGCCAAATCCAGCAAAGAAAACAACCTTATCGCCAAAATTTAGAACAATGTATCTGAGTAGCGAGCTAGAAACTTCAAATTTTAGATTCCTTAGGGAAACATCCCACTAGAAAAAGATAAGAATTCCATGAATGGAAAGGGATAATAACTCTTAAGGGAATTTGAAATCCTCAGGAGAAAATATATCTATGAAAGCAAATTTATTTTAAAAGCCCACTCTCCAGTCAATCACGTGTTCTTTCCACTTGCCCTCTAAAATATCCATTAAATCCATCCACTTTTATCTGTCTCCTTAACCTGCAGATAACCTAGATACTTACGTGCCTTCCGTCCTTGGCTCGCCAACATTTTCAGAAGGAATACCCAGCCCCATTACACAGACCATAAGACTTTCCATTAAGCTGTCTCTTTCCCACCTCTTCTGTCTCATGTTTTTTCCAGTACATACCCCGCATCCCCCATATACATTTTTGGGCCCACCACATTTATTAAAGCCTTCAATCTTCTGTGAATTGCCTCTGCCTAGAATGCCCTTTAGTGACCCAAACAACCTCCACCTGATAATCTCCAAACTATTCTTCACAGCCTAGTCCAAAAGCCTCATGCACTGTTAATTCTTTCCCACTTCTTCAGTTAATCATTTCAGGCCTCTGCATGCTCAGCGCCTAGGTAGGTAAATATTATTGGTCTAATTTTTTTTTTTTTTTTTTTTTTTTGAGACGGAGTTTCGCTCTTTTTACCCAGGCTGGAGGGCAATGACGCAATCTCGGCTCACCGCTACCTCCGCCTCCTGGGTTAAGGCAATTCTCCTGCCTCAGCCTCCCGAGTAGCTGGGATTACAGGCGTGCACCACAACGCCCAGCTACTTTTTTTTGTATTTTTAGTAGAGACGGGGTTTCACCATGTTGACCAGGATGGTCTCGATCTCCTGACCTCGTGATCCACCCGCCTTGGCCTCCCAAAGTGCTGGGATTACAGGCTTGAGCCACTGCGCCCGGCCTGGTCTAGTTTTTAAGAGGAAACACCTCTTAGAACTAGGAAGATTAGGTGCCTGAACAGGATCTCACGATGAGTGTATTTATCCAAAAGAGAACAGCATAGATTGTATTGCACAGAGACAGAGTTATGTGAAGAAGAGAAAGACTTAGACAAACCTCTCATGGCAGAAGAAAAGGGAAGTATAAAAGAGCAGGGGGCAGAGAAGGCATGTAAAAATTTATTGATAGGTTCCTGTAAAGTGTCCAGGGAGGCTTTAACCATACCACCCTGTGTCCAACAATTTGTGTCCTAGAATGACCAAGAATCAAGCCCATGAACGAGAAAGAGAGCTCCAACAGGGCAGCAAACCACAAGTTCATTCAGTTTCTTGATTTAGGAGTAGGGCCAGAGATAGAGAACCCAAAAGAGAGATCTGGCAGGCTGGGGAATGCCACACAAGTAGCAAGTTGAGGAAACATCCAACAACTTGTCCCTTTCTTGACTCCAAGCTTGCTGCAAGTTATATCCTTATACACACGGGAGGCCCTTCCAGCAGCATCACTGAAACTGCTTGTGACATTTGAATCTCCTGGGCTTCCACTGCACTTCTCAAATAGCCATTATCTCTGGATTGCAGTCACTGGTCTACAGGCAGTCTCACCCACTGGACTATGCACTCCTTGAGGTCAGGGCTTGTGCCTTCCTCGTTTCCTCATACGCAACACCCATCAAGATTCTCAGCATGTAGTAAGTGATAAGTAAACTAAGTGAAAGAATAGATGAATAAATAAACAAGAAAATTATAAATGCTGCTTAATCTTTAAGCCACGTCCACTGAAGGTTTGACAGCTCTCTGGGTACCTAGTTACAATTCAAAACATTCACCACCAGATGGCACTATTTTAATGAGGCAGTAAAGCCCTTATTCTGGCATCCTTACTGTCAGATACAGGTATGTGCTTTAATCAGACTATTAAGTTACTACAAAGGTGGAATCTTCTAACCCTGTAATTTCTTATATTCCCATAATACTCTAATTTTTTACTTGTCAAAAGGAAAATACTTTCCAATAATTTTTCTAAATTCTCACTTTCCCCCATGCCACTGGTACGGCCACATAGACAGATCACTATTAGGAAGCTGAATTCTTCCAAGGCCTCCTCTATAAACCTGGAGAACCTCCCTTCTTAGGACTGACTATTGTTGTAGGTGTTTCAACCTCATATTCCAGGGCTTTAAAATCACATCCCTGTGGAAAGAGTCAGATCTAGACAAAACCCACATAAGCAGTCACCCAGTCCGTGGCATTTGTAAAGTCTCAAAGTTGAGACTCCCAGGCCATTGTCACCACAGCCAGTCAGAACAAGGTTTAGCAGCAGTAACAGGCAGTCAGACATTGGGTGAGTCTCTACACATTGTCAGCAGGTTCCAGGAGACAGGACCCAAAATATGTCTCTGACGAAAGTGGGATGGAAAGTAGCAGAGAAGGAGAAGGGCAATTTTCCAAGGCTTCCTGCCCTGCATCAGTAATGGTTATACCCTGGTGCCAAGCCATTAAGTCCCCTCATTTGAGCTCAAAAAAGCTATTTTCCTCATGAAAAGACAAAATAAACCAATTTGTGCTTTTGCCTCCTCTCTGTATGCCAATAAGGTAATTACTGTAACATGTATACCTGTTACATTGGTTTCATTCCTTTTCAAATAAACTTGGTATTGAGAAGTCATGTCTTTTCATTTTCAATAGCTTCCTCTGAAAGGTTGGAAGGGGCGTGCTGATCTTCGAAGTCTCAGAACACCCTCCTCCTGCAGCTGTGTGCAGGTTCCAGCTTGTCACACCCAAGCCGCTCCTTCTGTTCCTTCTGCACGCTGCTACTTGCCTGACACTGTTGAGCACATATTGCCTCACTCAGGAATTCTGGGAGAGCAAAGATCTTGCCTTTTATACCTTTTTAAATCTCTTCTTATTGTCAAGCACAAAGCCCTGTTGAATAAGTATAAGAAAGAGAATAAAACCGCCTAAGTTTGGGGCTACTCGAGAACTCAGCAATTAACTTATCTTTATCGTAGGTTATAGGGCAGCTGCACATCTTAACTGGCACTCAAGTCTGCATCATCCAGACCTCATATGTTTAGATCCGAATGCTTCATGTCCTCCTTCTCTCCCCTTTCCCCCAGACCTGCTCCTCCTTGTGACTTTCTCCTCTCTCTTGACGGCATTATGGCTCTGCCAGACACCCAAGCTCAAAACCACAGAGTAATGTTTTCCTCTTTTCCACTTCCTTGCCCCCTCCTTGCTTTCACCCCATCTCCCCCTTTCTATCTCTGCAGCCGTGTTCAGGCCCTCAGTCTCTCCTGCCTTAGAACTTGTCTCTCTGTTATAGGATAAGATTTTTTAGGAAGGAGAGCCTTTATTTACTGACTTTCATATTGTCCTTAGGGCCTTTCACAAAAGGAGTACTCAGTTTATTAATTCATTTATTTGAGAATGTATTTGATGCTGGCCCTAAAGCAATGAATAAGATGGGAGATATACATATGCACGGAGAGACTATAGTGAATAGCAGGAAAATTTAAGCAAAAATGAAAGATTGAGCTTGAACCCATCCCTACAAGCTTCTCAAAGTATCTCTTATTAGGAATAAAAACTTGTTTTCTTCTATTATAAGATGCGCAATATTCCATGGAGTAGGACATAAATTACTTTCACTCAACTATAAAACCAGTGAAAAGAAAATGAAATTGTCCAGATTTGGGCACAGAAGAGACAAGTTAAAAGAATGGCACTTTAGTATTGAACTATTTTTAGAGTTGGGCAACACCCTATACTCTGAACCTCTCCTGGCCTCCTGCCCAAATAAGAGACCTGCAAATCTGATTTATATTTTTTAGAAAAGATGACAAAGGATTGTTGCATAACGCCTTCCATATTACATTTGCATTTTAATAGAAAATGTCAATGTCCCTGTCTCCAAGGGTGATGCATACTTGAATCTCCAGGTGCTCTGGCATCTGGCTCATGAGAGCTATTCCTTGCCCACCTGATGACATCACACAGGCTTTCGCTCCATTATAGGCAGGAACAACCCTGGCACGACTGCATGCACCCATCAGAGTGTCTCGGGTCATGGAATAATATGACTGGCTCCCCCTTCTTTTAAAGGATGTTTGTCAGTGTCTCACAGAAATAAAAACAGTCACGAGCACAGGCTCTGGAGTCAGAAAGATCTGGTAATGGTTATTACCGTTGTTGTTGCTGCTTCCGTTACTACCTTTATCATTTTTAGTATGCAGGATTTCCCTAGGCTATACCAATCCCGGCCTATGTCCAGGGCACTGTGGGGTACACCACCAGCCCCCAGAAGCTGACTCTGAGTTCTGGGGCATACCAACTAGAGATACGCAGAAGCTGAAATATTTGCTAAATAAGAAAGCATGAGGTCTTTCCGAGCATTCACCTAGCACCCACCCCCTCCCAGTCCCTATGGTTCCATTCCGTAATCCACAGCTAATATTTGCTGGGTTGTTTACTGCATGCCAGGCACTATGCTAAGACTTTCACACGCTTGACCATATCTAATCTTCGCACAACCATATGAAGTACATTTTATATCTCTGCTTCCAGAGGAGAAAACTGAAAATTAGATAAGATAATCTGCCTCAGGTCATATAGAAAGGAAGAAGAGGGACCTTTCCAAATACCTTTATTTTGTTCCTCCAACTTTTTACAAAGACTTCTATTTGGTTTCTAATTTCTGTTTTAAATCCCTACTTTGATATTAGATCATATCCTAACAGTGAATTAAGCCCTGACATTTAAGGTAAAGTCATTCATTTTGGTGCCTAGGTATTGGGGGTAAACAGGGGGTGGGCTGGAGTCACTCTCTGCTGTCTGGGCTGGAGTGCACTGGCACAATCTCAGCTCACTACAGCCTCTGCCCCCGGGTTCAAGCGATTCTCATGTCTTAGCCTCCCTAGTAGCTGGGGCTACAGGCGCACCCCACCTTGCCTGCCAATTTTTGTATTTTTAGTAGCGGTGAAGTTTCACCATGTTGGCCAGGCTGGTGCTGAACTGACCTCAAGTGATCCACCTGTCTCGGTTCCCAAAGTACTGGGATTACAGGTGTGAGTCACCACCCCCAGCCCTGGGTATAATGCTATATCTATGAGCTAACCTACCCTATATTCCTGGAATGTTTTTAAAAATATATATAGTGACAGAATTAAAAAGAGTCTGTATTTATCTATAAGACCAAGGTGGTCATTTTACAGATGAGAAAAATAAAGCCCAGAGGTAATATATGTCTTTCTCTAAGTGTCACAGCAGGAAGAGAGCTAGAACTCAAGGCACTTCTCTCCCTAAAGGGCTCAGCTCGCCAACTGAGACTAACACTGAACAGCGTGAAATTATAAATAATGGGCTCACCATTATAAACAGAATTGCATGATGGTTAAGAGCAAAGGCTCTGGAATCAGCCCAAACAGGCTTCTTCCCACTTCCATTACTATATGACCTTGGTCAGCTAGTGATATGGTTTGGCTGTGTCCCCACACAAATCTCAACTTAAATTGTATCTCCCAGAATTCCCACACGTCATGGAAGGGACCCAGAGGGAGGTAACTGAATCATTACCAGTCTTTCCTGCACTATTCCTGTGATCGTGAACAAGCCTCTAGAGATCTGATGGGTTTATCAGGGGTTTCTGCTTTCACTTCTTCTCTCATTTCTCTTGCCACCATCATGTAAGAAGTGCCTTTTGCCTCCTGCCGCAATTCTGAGGCCTCCCCAGCCATGTGGAACTAACTGTAAGTCCAATGAAACCTCTTTTTCTTCCCAGTCTCGGGTATGTCTTTATCAGCAGCATGAAACAAACTAATGCAGCTACTGCGGTCTCAGAAGCACTTGAAAATATGACTTCACTAGGCTGTCAGACAGGAAGGGGTATAAGAAGAACCCGTAGAAACAGAATCATGGAGGCATGACATAGCATGGGGTCCTCAGGGAGAAGTAAGAGTAAGATATTGCTAGAGCGTAAGAACCAAGGCACAAGGTTGGGGATGAGGAGGCTGGAGGGGTAAGCAGAGGCTAGTGATGTGTCCAGGTAAGGAGCTTACACTTTACTCAGCAGGTGATGAAGAACCAATGACAGGTTTTAATAGGATAGCAACAAGGTCCGATAGGTGTTTTGGATAACTCTGATAATCTATCTCCAACATCTCTTGTCTTTCTACCTGCCTTACATGACCTTGCACCTTCTCTTCTTCAAACCAAATTCCAAATGAATTTCAAGGTCCTGCTCATAATGCATCACCATTGGAAGGCCTTGTGTGGTTTTCCTACCCCCTGGGGCTCCTTCCCTTTCCCTGTATTCCCTCAGCAGTTCTAATCAGCTCCATCGTGGCTCCCTGCATCAGCCTTGGAACAGTCGTCAAGACCTCCAGAGGCAAATGTGTGTGGAGCCACCAGATGATGGATTCTTTCAGGGTAGGACACAGTGTACTTCTTTGGGACCCACTCCCAGTAGCCCACACCCAGCACTTGCTCTTTTTCAATACCTGAAAGGAGTCTCTGGGGGAGGGACTGCTGCAGCTGGCAGAGAGGTAACAGTCTGCTTATCCTGCACACACTTCACATGTTCAGAAAACAGAAAAATTTCCTCAGAAATCCTGTGTTTCTCCACAATGCAAGGGTTCCCAGGGAAATTTCGGTCACCTGATTCTTAGTTCTCCAGGGGCCTTCTTTCCACTAGCAGAAACACAAGTGCCTGCTGCAAGGGCAAAGCTATTCAATTAGCTCTCATTGAAGTTTCTCCTTTTCCCCACAGGTGTAAATTGGGCGCCTGGCTTGTTGTTTTGAACTTGACTCAACATAAAAAGATATTTATTTCCAGACTGTCCCTGGCTCCAGAGAAGGAGGCAAAGACACATTTGAGATCTGCAAAGTTTACCCTACAAGCCCCAATCCTCTACCTGAGGGAAATCAAGCAAGGGAAGATGTTGCTAAGCAAGTTATAGGGTAATTCATTCTTTCTGGGCCTGCAGAGAAGAGTGTAGCAAGCAGTATCTAAGGTATTCTAAAAGTGGTTAAATATGTAGACAGCATATGATTGCCATGCACTACAGTAAATTTTTTCTTAGGAATAAAAGAGTAATTGTAAACTCAGAATTATAGAAGCCTACACTTTTCAAAACAAGTTGGATCTAAGAATGCATAAAATCTGTTGTCACAATTCTTACATTTGACAACAGAAACAGAACATATTTTCCACAATTGCTGCTTCTAAATAATTTCAGCTATATTCATACCATCGTCCTTCAATATCTCTCCCTTCATGGACAGCACATAATGCACTTCACGACCTAACCTCTGTCTCCCAGGTGAGTTTTATGTCTTGCCATTCTCACAACCTTCTACTCCGGCCAAACTGATTGATCTATTGCATTTTCTCAAATGGGCGCATTCTATCTCAACTCTATTCATCTCCCATGCTATTCCTTCTCCTTATAATATATCCACACACACACATCCCTATCTTTTCAACTTTCTGGTTAGCTCCTATTGTTAAGTACAACAACCAGAACGTATTAATGATTAATGCCTCAAGTACTTCTGATGCTGCATTAGGCATTACTACATTAGATGCAAGTAAGACGTTTTCAAAATCCATCTCAGGCAGTATCTTCCAGGGTTTTTTTTTTTTTTTTTTTTGCAAGAGAGCTTATCATGCTCATGATAGCTAGCTGCTTACTCATTGTATCTCCTACCAGGCTGTAAGCATTTTGACATTAGAAACAATGTCTTCTATTTCTGTCCTCACCACCCCCACCCCTAAAGCCTGGCCCTTGGCATTTACTCAGTATATGCTTATCAAATGAATGAAGAAACAAATGAATGAATTACACTGACAGACTATGCATGACCACAAATAGACCTTTGTCTGGGGAGACCATCATGCTGGTTTAAAATCTCAGTCATACTTTCCT